TATTTTGTTTTCAAGGTACAAATAAAAATAACAAAATTAAAAAGTCAATGTCATAAAGTTACAAAACCTACTTAATCAGGAATGTTATTTTTAACTTACAAAATGTTTCTGTTGGTTTTTACAAATGTTTTTGTTAAATTAACTTATCTGGTTTTACAGTATATGTTAAATAGTTAAATATAATAAGTAATTAGTAACAATAACTTTCTAAATAATCTTGTGCATGCAGTAAAAAGTACAATATTCCCTCTGAACTGTAGTGAAGTATAAAGTAGAATATAATTGAAAAAACTCAAATGCAAAGTACAATGTGTACTTACTATACTGGAGTAAATGAACTCATTACATCATTACATTACATTCTGTCAAGAAGAACTACTATCAGGTTTCCCATTAGAGACTGAAGATGTAACTTCTCCAAGGAGAACTTGACTCCAGGATAAGACAGCTGTAAAAGAAATTATTATTTATAGCGTCTTTTAACACAAGAAAGAGAAAAGAGATGAAGTAGTTTTTGGCAGTTCTTTTAAGCAGTTGTTCCCAACCTAGAAGTCCACAAGGGGTCACCAAACCTTCAACTTTCACCACCTTGCTGTCTTGATTTTAAGAGGTGTAAGAAAACTTGAAAATATTCACAGTAGGCCTATATCTCAGTATTTTGTTGATTTCTGCCACATTTGTATGTATGATTGTTTAAAAGATACCTAATACAGAGAGACAATTGTGTAAGTAAGAAAAGTTCCTAAAATTAGCAGGAAAACTCCTCCAAATCACAAATTTTACACAAACGTCCTGCTGTTAGTGTTCACTGTTTGGGTTTATTGTACAGTTGATCAGCTGTTCTCTGCTGTTGTCATGCATTGAATATAATATGAAAAATCCTTCAAATATGTCACTGAGTCAGGGGTTGTCAGTTTATTCCATGATAGAAATTGAAAAAGGTTGGAACTGCTGCATCAAAGGGCCTGTGAGCTCTGAACTGCCGTTGCCCCCTGTTGGAGAAGCACAGAGCAGTTGTTCTCAGAGACCTTTATGGTCAGGGCTGCTGTTCCCTCAGTGCTAGTTTAAGGCTCTGCTGCAGCCAGGGTACTCTCTGAGCGCAGAAAATAAAGAAATAAAAAAACACAGCACTGGGAAAAAACATGTCCAAAAATGTGCCTTCACTTCCTCTCCAAGCAGACCACACGAGGCTGAACAACACAGAGGACTATGATAAACTCCAAGTCTCTGTTTATTGCAGAGGAAGGCTATAAGTACCAATTCAGTCCAGCTCGGGATGCAAGCACACTGTTGTTCTAAAATAGATTCTACTGAATGTGCCTACTGTATGGATCTATGTGAAATCTGCTGTAGGTCATTTCTTAGCACATTTTTTGTCATATTTGCTGAAACCGAGCCTGAACAAAAACTGAATAAAATTATTGAGTCTCATTCCCAGAGTACCAAATACAGACGTTTTGGGACACTGGGAATGAGACTCGACAATCAACAAACTTCAAGCCTCTAACCCAAAGTGTCTTTATATCTTGTTTTCGTTCAGGCCCAGTGGATTTTTGCAAATGCCATTAGGAGCACTAGGAGGAGCCAGAGGAAGCTGATTATTTCACAGATTATCTGTCTCATGTTCTACTGTCAGGATATAGTGAGCTTAAGTAACTATGAAAAAAAAAAAAAGTATGACCTACTGACGTTTTAAGAGAACAGGGAAGAGTGGAACTGGACTGCAGACATATGATACAATACTGTGTAAATACACTACAACATTTTCATACTCATATGTTAGGAATGTCACTAGGCCAATGGGTGTGTCTTAAAAGACTGAAAGTAGGTGGTGGAATTCTCTAGAACATAAAGCATGGACCATTCCCAATGTGGCTGTTCCTTACTTAATTTCTATAAATCCAGTGAAAATGATGGAGGACCAACAGAACATTTTTCTTTTAATTCTATGCTCTCATACACTGTGCTTCTGGAAAGAACCCAAGAAAGGATTTTTAAAAGTGTACTGTATAAGGTCTCTCTTAGCTATTACAGTAGGGAGTTACAGTGTTAGACCAAATCATTAAAAGTCCCCTCCAATCAAACATCAGTGTTTCTTCTTGTCCCCACAGTGTGCTGTGTGAATGCTGTCTGTG